GGATATGGGGCCCGGCGCCTGTGCCCGCGCTGCAGCCCGCACCCCGCCGCGGGGCCGAAACGCGTTGGCCGCGGGCGGAAGGGGCGGCTTTTTGCCCCCTTCTCGTGCCGTGTTTGTTACCGCGATTGCGAAGTTTCAGGCTGAGGGGGTGCGAGCTTGCGTGAGCGCGAGCGGGTTCCGGGTCTGCTCTTGGGTTTCGTGTTTGCAGTCATGGCTTGGATGTGGGCGGGAAGGGTAAACACTCAGGTGGGAATCCCGGCCGCCGGGCTCCCCGCTCCCTGCTTGAACCCGGGCTCTGCCCTGGGCTTAACGCGAGCTGCGTGGCGGCGGCGTTGCTTGGAATTAGAGGGGTGCGTGATCCTAAAGCTCCCGCGCACCCCGTCTGCACCTGATCCAGGCGCCCATGGTGGGAGAGCTTCCTAAAACCTGCTCTGCCTTCCTGCCTTGCTGGCGTCACCGTCTCCAGCTTCGCACCTTTACCAGCCTCCCAACTAGCAGTTTGAATCCATTTGGTGATGCAGTTGTGGTGTCCAGTCGTGCAGGAGTCTTCCCCATCTTTCACGCGGTGGCTGCATGTGTGTCAGCAGGTCACTCTGTGCTGGTAAAGGTGGCTTTGGGCTGAGACGGCCGCAGAGCAGCCATTGCCCCCTTGCAGCCCTACAAGAACCCATGGGCAGAGAGCTGTGCTCGGCGGCACATTGGTTTTTTTTTGTGTGTGTGGTTTTTGCTCTGTTTTAGAGCGCAGAAGTGCTGGGGCTGGTGCCTGCTGCGCTACCGGAGCAGGGAGCGCGTGTGGAAAGGCACGGGAGAGGCGCTGGCGGCGCCCCGTGCGATGCAGATCCGGCCCTGGGCACGGTGTGGGTTTAACCTATATCCCTGCCCACGTCAGCTGGCCTGGGTGGCAAGCAGCGCTGTGCTCTGCTGACGCAAGGGCCAGTGGGGGAGGGAGGAATTCAGGGCAGCAGCTGGGAAAAGCCGCTGCCGGCTCTTCCGCGGCTTGGGAGAGAGCACCGGGAAACCCCCGTCACCTTGCGGAGGAGAAAGCCGGCGCTGGCGCTTGGCCCAGGAGCTAAAACAGGCTCCGGGTCACTTGGGGCGGCCAAGCCGAGATCCCGTCTGGTCCGACCCCGTCGCCGCCTCCCGGCGCGAGACCATCGGGGCTCGGAGGGGCCGAGTCCAGTTCGGATGAGAATGGGCGGCCGCGGCCGTATCTGGTGGCCGAGAGACTCCGTGTTATCGCGAGTGGCAGAGCAGGGGAGGTGAAGAAGAGCTCTGGAATTTTATTTTGGTTAAGGGAGGTTGTGCGACGCTTGGTTAGCAATTGCGGCTGGAGTGCAGGTGCAGCGCTGGAGCGGGAAGCGTTATCTGGGGACCAGACATATGTTGCATCCTCAGTATCATTCTGACACTTAGTTATTCACCCTTTAATGGCTTCAAGGCTAAGCAGAAACATTAACTGTTTAACCTCTGAAGTGATTACAATGTGTTGGAAAACAAAGACACTCTTTCTCCTCGCTTTGCTGAAAAGGCATCAGGCATCACTTGGGTTTGGCTTTAAGTCAACTCCATCGTTTAAAGTATCGGACTGTTTTGTGTAACACATGGTTCCAAGAAGAGGTTTATGTCATATATATGTGTGTATATATATATGTATTATTCTACAGTGTCACAGACAGCATTTCTTGAGGCTGTGTTTTGTACAGATTCAGGATATAGGTGCTACACAGGTAAGCTCGAGTCGAGCGCTGTGCCCAATCCTGGGCACAATCCCTGTTACTGGAGAGAGGAGGAAGGCTGTGGGGAGCCAGCAAAGGGCCACGGAGGTGGCGGAGGGGCTGGAGCCTCTCCCGTGTGAGGGGAGCCTGGGAGAGCTGCCTCTGCCCAGCCGGAGAAGAGGAGCCGGCGGCATCACGCCAGGGTGCACAAATACCCGACGGGAGGGTGCCCAGGGACAGGACAGAGGGCAACGGGCACAAACTGGGGCACAGGAAATTCCACCTGAACATCAGAAAACATCTCTTCCATTTCTTCAGTGTGAGGGGGCTGAGCACTAGCTGTCCGGAGAGGCTGTGGGGTCTCCGTCCTTGGAGATGTCCGAAATCCAGCTGGGCACGGCCCCGAACGGCTCTAGCCAACCCATCTTGAGCAGGTGATCTCCAAAAGCCCCAACCACACTCATCTGCTCCGTGATTCCGGCGCCGTGGACCTTGCTGAGCTGTTTCTGCTGAAGCTCTGTCACTGTTCAGTGGCTCGTCCAGGTCTTTTCCTCTCCTTGCTCCATTATTTATTAAGTTCCGTTGCCTTCCCAGGAGTGACTCTTCCCAGAGCTCTCCTGTAACCTCTGGTACTGCATGCGGAAAATCTGCCAGCCTAAATTTTAGGCTCTGTTGTCCAAGCCTGACTAGGCCAGGCCTAAACAGAAGTACACGATTTTCTAGCCTTACTCTGTGACACTCTTTCGTTTTCTTTCCCGCATAGGCTTTTCCCAGTTAAATAATGTATACGTGACAGAGTACGTGCTGCAGAAGTGACGATGATTTTCTCTGATGTGTTACTCATTACGCAGCCTGAACTAAGTCTAGAATTTGGTTGGAGGAAAAGCTTTTGACAGCGTCACTTAATTGGGGTCTTTCAAAAGAAATTTGCCATGTGCCCACCACCCCGGCACTGCCAGATGACAAGTTAGTCTATGAAATAAACTGTGCACAAAAACCTGGATGTTCAAAGTAGCTTTTGGAATGCGTTGCATTCCTGCTGCCGGGAATTAAGAGTTTGAATATTTCTCTGAACAAATGCAAGTTTTCTCTTTTAATCTGATGTTGTCATTGATTTGAGAAGACGAGAAGAAAGTCAGGCTGTAACTGAGGTGGTCAGATTTATTAAAACTGTTGTACTCCAGCATAGTGAGCTCACCTTGAAATTTGAGTTATTTATTTTTTGAGTTATGAGTTATTGCAGCCTTGTATCATGGCATGGCAAGAAGTGTTTGAAGCCATTTCAGACTTCATAAATATTGACAATCTCTTTGCCTTCACAGAAGGTAGAGTTTTTTTTTTTTAATTCACATTAATACTGCAGTTTCTTTTCTGCAGGAAACCTTCTTGCCTTGATTGAACTGATAGACTAATTACCAGATGTAAACTGAAAACATCATCCTTGAGGTTAGGAGCTGTCTTGTTTCACTTCTGCTGTGCTCCTTAGCACCATCCTTCCTAGCACTGTCATAGATCTTGTTCTCTGCTGCTGAGCCCAGCTCTTCAGTTGGTCTTGAATGATTTGCTGCTTAGAATAAGGGGGGTAAATATATGCAGGGCAAAAATGCCTCACTTGGACTTGAAAAATCCTTTGTTTTTGCATCTTTGGTCACAATATGGCCTTTCATGCTTGCCTATGTTGTTGTGGAGAAAAAACAGCTAAACGTGTTGGATATGGTGTTTTCTAAGCATGCTTGTACAGTCCTTGAAATTGTCTTTTTTGCTTTTAGTTTAAATGTTTTCTCTGCCTCTTAATGGAAACAGAAGATCAATTTAGATGCAATCTCTCACAAATGCTGTGTTCCAACAGGCACATTTTTTCTTTGGTACTGTTTAAGAACACAGGACCTGTTCTAGATATATTTATCAACAAGAGTATATAAAGCTTAGTGCAGAACTTGTTCTAGTTATCTAATGAGCAACTGACACAAAATAGCCCTTTTTGTGTCTGATTATGCTTTAAAAGTTTTTAAAAAAAACACTTTTCAAGTGAATTTTGAATCTTTATATCAGTTTTCTGAATGCAGCTCCTGGATGTCACTTCTGGTGCGCT